AATGGTTGACATCATCAGCGACTACGCCCCGGCTACTGACCTGACTTCGGCTTCGAGCCCTGCTGTACAACAAGTCGATGCCAAGTTGCAGAAGGTTCTAGCAGCAGTGGCGACTTCTACTTCTCCGGCAGACAATCTATTGCAACAGCTCACCGATAAGATACAAGGTATCGAGAAGCAGTTACAGAGCTCTCAAAGTCGTCGACCATGAATTCGTCGACCATGGATTCGTCGACCTGGAGTCTGTGGTATCTGTCGAGGCAATCATGTTACTAGGGAGTGCCCCGAGAAACGACTCGGTTCGGGTTGTTATCTATGTGGAAAAGAGGGTCATCTTGCAAGAAATTGTTCTAGTCGACAAGGCACCGGCACTAGGCCCGGACCTTCGTCGTCGCGAAACTAACTCGGCGGTTGACGAGGGGTCCTCAACCGCCAAACCCTACGGTATATCTCTGTACGTTTGGCGCAGAGATTGGTTTATTTTCATATGCTGAACTCCTGACCGTCGGTCAGTGACCGATGTTCAAGTTACCCCGCCGTTGAAAGCCTGTTTCCATACGGGTAGCTGTTTTTCCTTGGTTGATCGTAAGTATCGTCCAAGTGGTACTGTTGTATTTCCCTGCAATAATATCGATCTTGTTAATGTTCGAGGGAAGCCTAAGGCTTCAAGCCTTCCAATGTATCTGGAATCTCGAGATTGAGGCTGCGCTTGTATGATTCGCCGACTCCAACGTTCGATGCATTACTGTCTCACGAGACTTTCGAGTTGATTTTCCTCATCGTCGATAGCCTCGCTTTCGACATGATTCTTGGCCATGATTTCATGGCTCATTTTTCTCTGCATCCGACTTATGCAGGCCGACCCTTTGCTATGGCTGGAAGTCCAGCTACTCGTTTAGCACCACCGTTGCCGTCGTGTACTTCGACCGTGATAAGTGGTGCTTCCCCGGTATCCTCCGATAAGGTTCTCTGCGAAGAAGCAAGTTCTCCCAGAATTTTGACTAAGGCCGAAGATGAACGACTTGTATGTTCTTCTGACTCTGCGATATCCGATGATACAGTTTTCCGGTTCCCCAACAAGCCCAGCTGATCGACTTTAAGATCAAAGTTCTCGTCGTTGTCTTCGGCAAGCCTGCGGTTAGTGCTGTTGCTCCTGCGAACGATCGGGTTAACTTCCCTAAATTCTCGACAATAACAGCAACGAAGACGTCGAACGGTGGCCCGGACTCAATGCCACTACTGATATGCTCCAAGGTGATGACCTTGCTATGACCTTGGATTATGCTGTCCCCAATTTTCACGACGAGAAGGTCACCTTCCCGATCTTTGATGTGTCTAAGCCTGAGACTCGAAGATACGGTGCCCTCTGTGAAGAGTACAGCAGCTTCTTTGTCAATAAGCCTGGTCATTGTGGTCTTGTAGAGCATGGTATCCCCATTACCGACGATGTTCCTGTTGCTGAGAGAACCCGCCCTTTGCCACATAAATGGCGTGCGGAAATATCAGCGCAACTTGAAGAGCTGGAGCGTGATGGTCATATCATTCATTCGACCTCCCCGTACAAATTCCCCTGTGTCTTTGTACCGGAGAAAAACGGTAAAGTTCGCATGTTTGTGGATTACCGGTCCTTGAATAAGGTTGCCAAGGTGGATTCTTACCCGTTACCCCAACCCGATGACGTACAAGAACACTTATCTGGGGCCAGTGTCTTTTTGATCCTAGATTTGAGAAGTGGATACTGGCAATTGCAGGTCCGACCTTCGGATTGTCATCGTACTGCATTCTGTTCTGGACCCGGATTCCCTCTTCATGAGTGGGTCCGGATGCCTCTCGGACTATCTAATGCACCAGCTAGCTTTTAACGGCTTATGGACCTTGTACTGGGAAGATTCAACTTTGTTCGTATCTATCTGGACGATATCTTGATCTTCTCTCGTTTCGAACAAGAACATCTACACCATCTGAAACTGGTCTTTGATGCTCTTCGTGAAGCCGGCTTGACCCTAGCTGGAGACAAGTGCTCTATTGGCATGGACTCGGTTACATATCTTGGACATCGATTCTCTGCTCAGAGTATGTCCCTCGATCGGGCAAAGATTGACGCTATTGAGTCGTGGCCAACGCCCCGAACAGTGACTGATTTTCGAAGCTTCCTTGGCTTGGCCCGTTACTACCGTCATTTTAATCCGCATTTTTCGAATCGTGCTAAGGTCCTACAACAGCTTCAGACGACCCGCAGCAAGGATGACGTTATGATGGCCGATCGTTGGACTGAAGATCATTCGGTAACGTTTGTGGATCTTAAGAAGGCCCTTGCCGATCTCCCATTCTTGGATCATCCTGACTTCAGTCGACCTTTTGAGATGATCTGTAATGCGTCCCAATATGCTATTGGTGGT